TCAGAACCTGCTCCAGCACCCAGAGCTCAGTAACAGTCAGCTGTTGGCCGACTTCCTGTCTCCTCACAGTGTGGAGTCTCAGTTTCTGGACAAGATGCTTCCAGACGTCAACCTGGGTGAAGACCTTTGACCTTTGACCTTTGACCAAACCTGTCATCTGACATTGACCCTACGTTACCAACAGTTAGCTTCTTTATTCCTTCTCCTGTTTCAAACCTAGAGTTGGTTTACCTTTCAGTCGTCTCTAGTTGGCGCTGTTGTCGTAGGGTTAGTTTTTCCTTTGTCATTCATTAGGATAACCGTAAAGTGCAGCTATTTCTTAGCTAACATTTAGCTTTTGGCTTGCTAACCTTTAGCCAACATTAGGATTTTGTTTTATTTTTTCCACAGGAAAGATTTTCAAATCTGTTCCAGGAAAACTGATGAAGGAGGTGAGTGTGTGTGTGTGTGTGTGTGTGGGTCACACCTTCACTCTCAGAGGTCAAAGGTCTCATTAATGTGTGTGTGTCCACAGAGAGGTCAGAACCTGGAGCCTTTCATCCAGAGCTTCTTTAACTCCTGTGAGTCGCCCAAACCCAAACCCAGTCGCCCAGAACTGATCATCCTCAGTCCCACGGCCGAGAACAACAAGAAGGTAAAGGACAATCCCCCCCCGACCCCCCCCACCCCCCCAGGGAAAAAAACAAATGTTACAGTTTATCTATTTAACTTTAACTTTGACACCAACACCATTCCACTCTCCTTCGGTGTTCGGGTAAGAAACCTGCCCTCTGTTGGCTCGAAAATGTAACATCAGGTTCAGCTGGATGACAGTTAAAAACGTGGGGCGGGGTTACGTTCACGGTCTCCCTTCACTCTGCTCTCCTGGTCAGTGTTCACTGTCTTCTCAGCTCTACAACACTCTGTTCAAAAACAACGCTAACCTGCCAGGAAGTCCTCACCTGGGACGGGACCAGGAGGAGAAGAACCAGGAGGAGAAGAACCAGGAGGAGAAACCAGGAGGAGACAGGAGGAGAAGAACCAGGAGGAGAAGAACCAGGAGGAGAAGAACCAGGAGGAGAAGAACCAGGAGGAGCTGCCTCCTGTTCAGGGCATGTACGACTACTTGATGTACGTGGGTGAGTAAGAAGCTCTTCCACAATCATCAGCCTCCACCACTGATCTCCTGAAAACCAAGTAAAGGTCTGATGATGATGATGATGGTGATGGTGATGATGGTCCACAGGTCGGGTGGTGTTCCACATGTCAGACTGTCTTCACCACGTCCTGGCTGCTGGACGGATCCTCTTCAAGAACACTCTGGAGGTCTACACGGACCAGTGTCTTCAGACCAAACTGGAGCAGATTCTGCAGGAGCACCGTCTGGTGTCGCTCATCACTCTGCTCCGAGGTTGGTCCAGAGGATCTCCTCATCCAGGATCATCTCAGCTCTAATCCTGGATGTACAAGTCCTAAACAATCCAGAGCCAACCGGATTTCTTAGCCCCACCCACTTCAGTTATAAGCCAATCAAACGTTAACAACAACAACCTTAAGATTAACGTTAAGTTCCTTCTTTTGTTCAGACGCGATTTTCTGCGAGAACAGTGAAAAAAGATCTGCGGAGGAGAAAGAGGCGCGAGCAAAGAAGACGTTTGAAGAGATGATGAAGTATCTACCAGGTGAGTCCCACTGTAGTCCGACTGTTGTCCCACTGTTGTCCCCACTTTAGCCTGAGTGTAGTCCCATTGTAGTCCGAGTGTTGTCCCGACTGTATCCCCACTTTAGCCTGAGTGTAGTCCCATTGTAGCCCGACTGTTGTCCAACTGTAGTCCCATTGTAGTCCGACTGTTGTCCCTACTGTAGTCCGACTGTTGTCCCCAATGTAGTCCGACTGTAGTCCGACTGTCGCCCTCTTCTGCTGACAGCGGGCAGTTGTTTCTCTGTGTTTTCCAGACTTTGTGGAGAAGTTCGTCGGTGAGGAGGCCAAATACAACGGGATCCGACTCCTGTTCGATGGGCTACAACAGCCGCTGCTCAACAAACAGGTCAGAACTCGGGCAGCGGTCACATGACTTTCTGTTGCCAAGTTGCCTGTTGTCACGTGTGTGGTTGTAGTAGAGCAGCTCAGGGCACAGTGAGCGCCCCCTGCAGATAGAACACACCTAATCAGGACGTCTGTGTCACAGGCTGTTTGTAGCTGCAGGGGGCGCTCACAGTGACAGTTAGCTGTGACCCCTGATTGGTCTGTTGAAGACAAGGGTTTGACTTTGGACGTGTCCCCCTCAGATGACGTACGTCCTGCTGGACATTACGGTGCAGGAGCTGTTCCCTGAAATCAGCACGGTAAAAAATAAATCTCAGCACTAGAGGGAGCTCACGCTGCAGATATAAGGAGTCAACTGTGTGAGTCTCATGTTGATGTTTGTCTTTACCAGAGGGGGGCACCAGAGGCCAACCGTGTGACCTGATCATGGGCGACCCCAACTGTAAAGTGCAATCATTTAAAACTACATTCCACTGTCTGTGTACAAAGAGATGATGAAAATAAATATTTATACATGTCTTTGAAGGCAACGCCGTCTGATGACTTTTTTGTCCAACTCTTGTGTTTGATTTGTTTTGACAAAGTCTCTCAGACGTCAACCACTTCACTGATTCACTGATCTGACTCTGGACGTGGATGAGCAGACACTGTTGTTCACTGTACAACCTACATTCCAGAGGTTCCTGAACACATCTCCATGTTCAGCTGCCTGCACTGAAACAGAAATATAATTCTCTGACCTCACACCCCTCGACTCTGGACGGTTTTGTTTTTGTTTTTTTTTGTCTGGCTGCAGCTGAAGTTCTTCACTCCAACACACGGTGCATTGTCCGAACACTGGAGGAACTCAGTCCGACCAGGGTTCATCCTTCAGGTCACAACGTCCTCACAGTGACTGCTCTCAGCTAAGGTCACAAGGTCACAATTCAAACCACAGTTTCCTGACTGTTGGTACCAAAAGGATTTAACCTCACACTATCATACCAAACTGACACAGCAGTCGTTGATCCACTGCTGCCTCGTCACCAAGTTCAATGTGTTCATTTGGGACCTCACTGTTTGTTCATCTATGGACTTTGGTCTGAACTAAAATCTCTGATTTTCTCCATGAGGTTTGGTCTGAACTAAAATCTCTGATTTTCTCCATGAGGTTTGGTCTGAACTAAAATCTCTGATTTTCTCCATGGACTCTGGTCTGAGCTAAAATCACTGATTTTCTCCATGGACTTTGGTCTGAGCTAAAATCTCTGATTTTCTCCATGGACTCTGGTCTGAGCTAAAATCACTGATTTTCTCCATGGACTTTGGTCTGAGCTAAAATCTCTGATTTTCTCCATGGACTCTGGTCTGAGCTAAAATCACTGATTTTCTCCATGGACTTTGGTCTGAACTAAAATCTCTGATTTTCTCCATGAGGTTTGGTCTGAACTAAAATCTCTGATTTTCTCCATGGACTTTCGGCAGAACTAAAATCTCTGATTTTCTCTATGGACTTTGGTCTGAACTAAAATCTCTGGTTTTCTCCATGGACTTTGGTGACAGAGGCAGTGGAGTTGTGGTTGTCATCGTCTGTGTAGAAAAAATAAACCTTTTTTTCAGACTAGTTTAAACTAAAAAAGAACTATTAGAAACTAAACCTTCAACCTTTATTTCCTAGTGATGATATTTGTGTGACAGTAACAGACACAACCCTCAGGTGTTTGCACTTTACATTTATAAAATTCTAAAACAATAACAAAACTTATTCACCCACAATTTCCATTTTTTAAAAACCCATTATCGCCACCTCCTGGCGAGGCTAACTCTTTGCCTATTATTATGGTAAACGCTCGGGGCTTAACAGCAGGATGTTAGCTCTGAATTTCAACATTTCTGGTTGTGTTTTTTTTAACATAATGTTAGCTTCTCCCACATGTTAACACCTTTACTGTGGACAAATACTAAATGCTAATGATAGCCTGCAGGTGTTAGCCTATGACACCACAACGCAAAGGTAACCTGAACCAGTGAGCACACTGTCGGTAGCATTCTGAGGTTTGACAAGTGCAATGCTAATTCTACAAGGCTAATTCTGTAACCATCAAATACCAACAGGAAGTGTGTCATCGCTGTCTATTACAGTGACAGCCAATCACAGCTTATACAAAACATTTCTGCGGTGTCTCTGTACAAAACAAAGATGCTAGCTAAGAGTTCAGAACCAGGTAGCGCTCATTCAACAGTCTCCCTGCGTCCTCCAGGGGGAGCCCCTCTTACTTGATTCAGACCAGCGTCCACAGAGCGGTTAAAACCAGTAGAGCCATCCGTCCCTGCAGTCCAGAGGCCGAGTTGTGGATCTTTATCCGTCCGTCCAGCGACGGATAAACGCCCTTTCTCTGTGAGATGAAGGCAGAGACGATGGATATGTCCAGGTCACCTGGTCAGAAATAAAAACATGCATCTGAAAAGGCAAAGTCACTGACTACAATTAGTGACCGTGATGAAGCCACAGGTGATAGGCAAAGAAAATATAAAAGGAAGTACAGATATAACTACGAATATTCATTCACGTCATTCATTCAAGTATTTTATGATATTTTATAGAATCAAATGTGATTTTCTCCTTGGACTTTGGTCTGAACTAAAATCTCTGATTTTCTTCATGGACTTTGGTCTGAACTAAAATCACTGATTTTCTCCATGGACTTTGGTCTGAACTAAAATCACTGATTTTCTCCATGGACTTTGCTCTGAACTAAAATCTCTGATTTTCTCTATGGACTTTGGTCTGAACTAAAATCACTGATTTTCTCCATGGACTTTGCTCTGAACTAAAATCTCTGATTTTCTCTATGGACTTTGGTCTGAACTAAAATCACTGATTTTCTCCATGGACTTTGGCGTAGGACTGTCTCGGTCTATAGTGAGAAGGTCAAGACCTGAGAATCAAACCTCTCACCACTGGTGTGTTTGAGCATCTCCTCCTGGATCATGTCATACCCATCGCCACCATCTACCATGTATGATGTCATCAGCACCATGTAAACAGAACCGTCCTCCACTGCTTCATAGCGAGGGACACGGCATTTGGTGCAGAGGATGCTGAGGCTCCTGACGCGACTCCCTGGAGGTCTGGTCATGTCAAACTCCACCTGAATCCCTGAGGGAGGAGAAAGCAGGACATCAGCACCACCACCTGCAGGTCGAGGGAGCTCCAGCAGGAGTCAGTGTGGAGCGTGGAGATACCTGACACTTGCAGGAATTCCCCTGTGCCCAGTCCGTATTTCTTCACCGAGTGTTCGAAGGCCTTCCTCAAGGTGGAGCCCTTCAGCTGCACCAGGTCAAAGCTTCCTCTGAAGGGGAGGACAGCACTGAGGTCATCAAAGGTGATGGTACCTGTTGAGGAGAGCTTCTTATAAAGTTCTGTTGTAGCAACAAAAGGTCAAACCCTAACCCTAACCCTGCTGCTGAGTCGTCACCGTTTCTGCTGCGCTCTTCTATCGACGCTCGGATTCCACCTGCGTTCATGATGCAGGCGCTGACAATGTTCCAATGATCCCCGCCTGAATATCTCACGTAGTAGTCAACCTGTAGATGAAAAACAGAATACATTTTCTCCAATCATCTTCTGACAGACCAAAGTCCATGGAGAAAATCAGTGATTTTAGTTCAGACCAAAGTCCATGGAGAAAATCAGCGATTTTAGTTCAGACCAAAGTCCATGGAGAAAAACAGAGATTTTAGTTCAGACCAAAGTCCATGGAGAAAATCAGAGATTTTAGTTCAGACCAAAGTCCATGGAGAAAAACAGAGATTTTAGTTCAGACCAAAGTCCATGGAGAAAATCAGAGATTTTACACTAACATTCACTCTGTGGTGCGGGACAGTGAGTGGTTTATCATTCTACTTGTTGTGTTTTTGGACTCACCACAGCATCGCAGATCAGATTTCCCAGATTACACTCCTTGAAACGACAGTTCTCCATGAGCCCATTCAGAAGAACATACGTTTTTCCGATCACCTGAAGAGTGTATTTGGCCAAATTCTCCTTCAACTGATTTACTTCGGCAAAAATATCTGGATCTGAAAGAAGGACAGGGCCCAGAATAAAACCTCTCCTAATTATTTTCATGTCACCGTTAGCTCCTCTTGGTCTTTTATGTCTCTGATCGTTAGCTTTTTAATGTCACGATTAGCTGAGAGTCTAAACTGACTGCTGTGACAGGGGGCAGTCTTTCCAGTCTTTACCCTGTGGGATACTGTTGTCCAGCAGGATGGGGTTCCCTGTTGATGTCAAAACGTTGCCAGCTTCGTCAAAGGTCACTTTCAGATAACCCAGGTACTTTCCGAAGCGATAAGCCTGGACCACAGGGACCTGGCGTCCATCATCCGACTGCACCATGACAGGATACGAACCTATTGGCTTCTCAAAGGAGGGAGGAGTTCCTGTCAGAGGAAAGAAAACAACCAGGATCACTGACGTAATACTGTGGCCCTCCTGGAGGTGGAGCACTGGTGGGGTTCTTATCTGAACGTTAAACTTTGGTTCCTCACACCAAACCTCATAGAGAAAACCAGCGATTTTCTCTGTCAGAGAGTCGATCCACTGCTGCTGCATCACTGAGTTCTAATGAGTTCTAATGAGTTCTAATGAGTTCTAATGAGTTCTCATGAGTTCCTCTGTGGCTTCACTGTTTGTTTAGATTATCCACAGTGGCCCAGCAGCGACCGTGTCTCAGACTTCAGACCGCAGCTGTTGACAGGAAATGATTTTAGCGGAGTTTCAACTCTGTCCAAACAGATTTACTGCTGCTGAAGAACCGTCTCTGGAGTGAGGACAAACATGGAGGTCAGGGGTGAGTCACTACTGCGCTGACGCAGAGAGAGAGAGAGGTGGCAGCTAAAATAAAAACACAACTTCCTGTTTCTGCTCTGTTAGTTTACCAGAACCACCACTGAGTCACACAGACTCCTGTGATGGTGTGGTCAACGTGAGCAGCAGCAGCAGCAGCAGCAGCAGCAGCAGCAGCAGCAGCAGCAGCAGTGACCTGTGTAGAGGAAGGTGTGGCTGTGTCCTCCCACCACCACGTCCACACCCTGGACCTTCTGAGCGATCTCCTGGTCCTTGATGAAGCCAGAGTGACCCAGGGCGATGATCTTGTTGACACCCAGTGTGAGCAGTTTGTCCACATTCACCTGCAGGGCGGCGACCTCCTCCTCAAACGTCAGGTGCGATCCTGTGAAGAACAACAGGGGGCGATGTCAGAAACGCAAGAAACAAAAATCACTGAAAAAAAAAAAAAACAGAAAGTGCACACGCCTGTATTGGACAGAGAGGGCGTGTCCTGGGAGGTGTAGCCAACCACGCCCACTTTCTGACCGCCCACAGTCAAGATGGTGTACGGTCTGTACATGGTCCCAAAGGTCGCGGCCAAAGTTTGGTCAGTTCTGATGTTAGCGCTGAGAACCGGAAACTGGGTTTGTTTTAGGAAAGGCTTGAGTCCCTCAACACCGTTGTCAAACTCGTGGTTCCCTATGGCCTGGAAACAGAAACCAGTCAGTTCACATCATACGTCAGACATTCAGCCGTCCTCCCCCGCACCTCCCTCCCCTCTGTTAGCAGAAGAAGCTGCTGCTCCATCATTCATGAGTACATGACCGGAAATAAAACCTCCTGGACCAGACAGACCCAGGTCTCAGATCCAGGACTCTGATCTAGGACTCTGATCTAGGACTCTGATCTAGGACTCTGATCCAGGACTCTGATCTAGGACTCTGATCTAGGACTCTGATCTTAGACTCTCATCGACGACGCTGATCTAGGTCTCTGATCCAGGACTCTGATCTAGGACTCTGATCTAGGACTCTGATCTAGGACTCTGATCCAGGACTCTGATCTCTGATCCAGGTCTGGGTCTCACCATGGCGTCGTAGCTCATTGCGTTCATGAACCGCGCCGCCTCGGTGCCTTTGTAGTGGTTGAACCAGATGGTTCCTGTGAACTGGTCTCCGGCGTCCAGGAGCAGAACGTTCTCCTCAGAGGAGCGGATCTTCTTCAGAGCTGTGGCTCTGCGGGCCACGCCACCGTAGCACTCTGAGCCGCTGCACTTTCCAAAGTACCGGTTGCTCTCCTCCACGTGAGCGTGCACGTCGTTGGTGTGCACCAGCACCAGGTCCCAGGTCCCAGAGGACTCTGATAGCAGGAGCAGCAGCAGGAGCAGGAGCAGCAGGAGTGGAGGAGTTTCCATCTTCATCTGCTGTAGATCAACTGAAGTGAGGAGGAAACGTAGAGGAGAAGAGAGAGCTCCTGCTCCTCCCCCTCCTCCGCTTACGTACTGGACAAACACTGACAGGAGGAGGAGGTGGGCGAGGAGAAGAGGGAGAGGGTTAGGAAATAAGTGGAGACTTAGAGAGGGAGAGTGAGGGAGGGAAAAGGAGGAAATGAGTTGATCCGTCTCCTCCTGCTCCTCCTGCTCCTCCTGCTCCTCCTGCTCCTGCTGCTCCTGCTTCTCCTGCTCTTTTGTTTTAGCATGATGAACTAAAGTTACCCCAGGCTTCAAGAGTGAACTATTTAGACAGAGGGAGGGGGAGGGGGAGGGGAGGA